ATATATTGCAGATATTACAAGATTTTTCTTCTTTCTGCTACCTTTCATTTTATTTGAAATGTTTTTTATGTGAATTTGGTTTTTTTTATTTTAAAAAGGTCACCATTTATGACAAAAGCTAAGCCAGCTCAGGTTTGTCGCATTATTATTTTAACCACAGGGTGGCATAGTCTCACATCAGTCCCTCCTCATGGTTATAACCAGCAGGTGGCGCTGTCTCACGGTAGTTACTCATTACTCAATGTCCCTCCTCTTCCTCCAAACACAGCCTCCATAAAAAAGCGTCCATAAAATGTTTCCAGTAAATGACCTAAACGGTTTTGCAAATACCAAAAGTCAGCTGTCAAAGAATAAAATGATAAAATGATAAAGCAGCTTCCTTGTTTTTTATTTTTTCTATTATTACAGTTCCTTCTTTTTTTATCTTTATAGTCATAATCACTGTTGGTCACTCCTAATTTAGTAGCTTAATGTGAATTTTAACCTGAAGGTAGACTTCCACCAGAAACAAATGTTTGAGTCGTAAAATCACAACTTTTACATTTAAAATAAATCAGACTCTGCTGYGTGGAGCTTCTGATGAGGAGCTCTGCTGTTTTAAATTAGGTTCAAAGTGTATTAAAAGTCATGCAACAGTGATTACTGAGGTCATGTATTCATTAACAAGCTTCTTTACAACTTTGTTACTGGATTTGTAATGATGAGATGCCAAAAACCTGTTCACTATGAACTTTGGTTTATTGCTTTATAGAAACAGTTTTGATTTGGTCTTATACCTTCTTCCTCTTTTCTTATCTGTTTTAGTATTACTACTTCTCTTCATGCTCTACTTCAAGTTAAAGATCAGAAGCTACAGTTACAAGACTGCAAAGACGAAGTAAAAAAGAATTTAAAAAGCAAGCAGACTGTACTAAATATGACGTTTTTCTGGTCAAGCAAGCTGCCCAAAGCACAACCTGTGCTCTCATTTACTACATCCAGCACCCTACTACATCTTCACAAAGCTAATCTGAATAAATCAGTCTATAGAGTCTAATAAGATTTTTTAAACTGTATTTATACACTAATAGGGGTACATCAGAGGCAATGAGGGGTTCAAATACAGTATGTGACTGCATATGAGTGGAACTGAACCTCCGACTCTCAGTTGTAAAATAACTGCTTTAACAACTGAACCCATCCATCCATCCATCCATCCATTTTCTTCCGCCTATCCGGGGTCGGGTCACGGGGGCAGCAGCTTCAGAAGGGAGGCCCAGACCTCCCTCTCCCCAGCCACTTCTTCCAGCTCCTCCGGKGGAACTCCAAGGCGTTCCCAGGCCAGCCGAGAGACATAGTCCCTCCAGCGTGTCCTGGGTCTTCCTCGGGGCCTCCTCCCGGTGGGACGTGCCCGGAATACCTCACCAGGGAGGCCTCCAGGAGGCATCCTTACCAGATGCCCGAGCCACCTCAACTGGCTCCTCTCGATGTGGAGGAGCAGCGGCTCTACTCTGAGTCCCTCCTGGATGGCCGAGCTTCTCACCCTATCTCTAAGGGAGAGCCCAGCCACCCTGCGGAGGAAACCCATTTCGGCCGCTTGTATCCGGGACCTCGTTCTTTCGGTCATGACCCAAAGCTCATGACCATAGATGAGGGTAGGAACGTAGATCGACCGGTAAATCGAGAGCTTCGCTTTCTGACTCAGCTCTCTCTTCACCACGACGGACCGGTACAGCGCCCGCTTTACAGCAGACGCTGCGCCAATCCGCCTGTCGATCTCCCGCTCCGTTCTTCCCCCATTCGTGAACAAGATCCCCAGATACTTAAACTCCTCCACTTGAGACAGGGCGACCCCCTGAACCACAATAAGCTAAATAATAATGGTTTTACATTTAGATAATTAATTAATAATTAATTAATCTAATATTTCTAAACAATAAAGCTCATTTATAAAGTGAAACGTTTTCCTCTGGTGTTTGCTGCATTTTAAAATGACCCATAATCACAAACTACTGTGTGAACACATTATTGAGCAAAATAAAAATAAAAAAAGCACAAAGATCTGGACACAGATTTGGTCAAAGTGGACAAAGTAAACATAAATGTGTATTTGTATATGCAACAAATAAGTGCACAAAATCAGAATAATTAAAATAAAGTTTATTCATCATATTTATCAATTACACTCAAAAAATTTTTTTTATCTGCATCCTGAGTTAGATTCTTAGCAGTAGGTTGAATACTGATCACATGTTCATTTTAAATACAAACTGTTGGAACGGCAAAACAAAATTCATAAAATCAAGGAAAATACAAGAAAACAGGAAAAGGTCAAACAAAACAGTTTCACACAGGGAGAAAAAAATGAGTCACTTGTGCAAAAACAAATCAATATTTAGTAATGATTCATTTACAGGGTGAGAAAAACTCTGAGCAAACATTTCACATACAAACATTTGAGCAGGGAAAGCTTGTGTGTCATGCAGGTAAACACTAACTAAAACCCAACTTCTGTCTGTACACACATTCATCATACTGTATGCATCAGAAATGCACAACTGAAGTTAACATGCATTGTTCTGAAATTTACTCTTTGACTGTTTTAGTTGTTTTGTTTGAAAGTTTGCACAGAACCATAAGTTGAAGATCCTCAATTTGAATCATGCAACATTCAAATAAGAGGTCTAATGTGGATTAACTACTTAGTTCAGATTTCAAAACTGAACAATACTTTTCAGAATACAACACCAAGCAGCCAGAATGTCTCTGTAAAAATATTAACTACAAACACAAACTTTGGAATTAAATGTTCTTTTTTTATTCATATTTGTGGCACAAGTTTCACAAATAAACCTTTTTACATGCCCATGCCCACGAAAAAAGAAACATTTTTGTTGGATTTACTAAAACAAATAATGTCAACAAGTTCTGAATTGAGTAAATGTCACACATTTACTTCACATTCACCTATAAAATAAATGTAAAAAATTATGTTACATTTGCTCAATTCAGTTAAGTAGAAGCTGTTGACAAAATTTGTTTAAATAAATCCAACAAAAATGTTTTTTTCGTGGGCATGGGCATGTATTTATGAAACTTGTGCTACAAATATAAATAAAAAATAACATTTAATACCAAAGTTTTTTGAGTGCATTGTAGGCTACTATGTACCTTGATTTTACAGAAATGTAAAGTTTCCATGAAAAAAATTCCTAATATGTTTACATTTATTCTAAGGTGCTTAATATTTTCTGCTCATTTATTGGCTTCAGTAAAAATCAAAGTTTTAATAAAAGTTACTTAATTAGGCTTAACTTCCCCCTCATTCCGTTTGTTCTGTCTAAATAAAATCTATGTTTTACAAAAAAAGCCCATATAATGTTCAGTAAACATGACACAAAACAAGATAAATCATTACATCCACAAAAATAGAAAATTATTTTAACTGACAAATATCTTACAATCGAGAAATAATATAATTTTAAAACATATTAAAATATGCATCAACTTCATGATAATTAACCAGAAATGTTTACAGTAATTGCCAAAATAATCTAGCACTTTCTGCTCTTTGAACTCCTACTGGCAGGAAAGGATTTGTTTTTTATCTTAGAGTAATAACAGATTTACTGTAAACTGAATMATGATACTGTTTCTGCACATTTGTCATATCTTTTGTTCATAGACATCTGCAAAAACAAAGTGCATATAGTGGACTTTAAAGACTTTTCAAATCATCTGTTTTGCTGTTGCATGTTTGGCTCAAGCAGAACCACAAAAATATATTATTAATGCCAAACGTCTAACATTTACATACTTCACATAAATCTTTTTTTTCCTTACCAGTTGTTGTAATGAAAAAAATAACAGTAATATCTCGGAGTATTTATGTTTTAGACAGTACCATTCCTAATGTACTTCAATAAATATATTTCTGGTGTCTCTGTCTTTTTTTCTGCTCTCAGCGAGGGCAGACACTCTTCAGTCTTCCCTTGTCTACCCTGCTTTGCTGCATTTTGTAGCCTTCTTTACAGATCCAAAACCAGGATTTATGGATCTGGTCAGCTGGTCTCTCATTGTTATTGATCTTTTTTTTTCGACATGGAAACTGGGCAAATGGGAGCCTTGTTGTCCTGATTCAGATCTGTGAACTGGTGGTACGACAGTAACCAAGGCCGAACTGTTGAACTCAACATCCCTTCAGGAACTATGGCAGGTGAGACTTGGGGACTAGTTTCACAGTCTTACTCAAAGATGCATACACACATAAACAACACTACTCAACTTCAGATTGTCACATCCCCTCAAATCACTGTCTTTGCTGGCTTAAATGTGCTCTATGCAGAGTTTTTTTCAACCCATATTGTGTCCTTGTTCGGGACAAAGTACGAGATGCTTTTTTTTAATCCTCACCTATCTTCATGTTGGCTTTACTTTTTTCTTTTTTTCTAAGGGTAGCACCTCTTTACGGCTGCAGGACCCAGGGACCTGTGTTTGTTTGTATTTGTCTCTCTCTTGGATGGGTTGTTCTGAACTGTATTTCATTGTGCTTAACGGTATGATAACACATTTTGTACAGTTTTATTAAATAATATCAATTAGATAATCACAGCTGATCTGCAAACTTGAACTCTAACTACTTTTTTACGTATTGCATTAAATAAAATATCAGAGCAGTGAGAAACATAATGCTAAAGTAACTAAATCATAAAAACACTTTTACTGCTCCTTTTTTGTTCAGGGAAATGCTCTGATAGACGTGGCGAAATCTGTAAAACCTGAGTAATTTTGCAAAACTAAAGTGCCGTCACTGGGTAAACTCTTGTTTGTGGACCAGAAATAACAGGAACACATAGATTTATTTCCTGACCTGCATCAGTCAGATTTGATGCCTGTGGGTTTTGTCTACTTGAGCATAAAGCTGTGTATTACAATTAGGAGGAGGAGGAGGTGGTCTGTTCTCTCTCTGCATATGGGCCTTATAGGTGGGTGGAGGAGGGGCTGGAGGTCTGCTGCTGTTCTCTCTGATTGGACCGTGGTTTGTCGCAGTTTCTTTTAACTCCACTGAGCCCATCCTTCCAGCTTGGTTCATAGGAAACCTCTGGTCTGCATAGGCCAGCTTCTGCAAATAATAAAAAAAATTAAAATAAAAACATTAAAAAGAAGTTTTATATAAACTCTTTAAATCTAAGTTTAGCTTAGCTTCACAAAAAAAGTCTCAGCGCAACAAACGAAGCAAATCAACCTTTGTGCCACAATCTTTCCTGGTTCAAAGTGTGATGTTGATTCTGTAATGAAGTCCTGCTGAGCCAATTTATATTTTTATGATCAGAACTAACAGTTTGTGTTTTATTCTTATATGGTAAACAATACCAAATTAGGTTTTAAATGTGTTTGTTTATTGGATAAAAAAAAGTGAAACAACTTATGTAAGTTTAATTCCTAATAACATATTTGGTGTATAACTTTAGTTATAGATTCTTGTTGTGAAAGAAAACAGTTATTTGTTGCTGTGTCCAAGAACATTTAATGGTTCAGTGTGATTAATATGTAATGAAAGAACATGTTTTACTTGTGAAATTTTCTTGTTTCTGTAAATTTTTGGCCACAGAATCTGCAGACGCACAGAGCTCTGCTGAAC